AAAGTAAAAACTGTATGAATAGCCTTAACCATAAATTCTAAACTTCACTGCTTAACTGTTATTCTTAAACATAAGCCAAACGCAGGATCGTGCGCGCACGCTTAACATTGTGTTACGCGGGCAGGACACAAATGCCCGAAAAGTGATGGGATCACCGTAAGCTCATCAGAATGACATGATTCGGCTTTTGAAAGAAGTACTATCGCACGTACGGCCCACATTTTTCCGCGTCGTTACTGTCCCCTGATATAGCTTTTCTCAGAACAACATAAGGGGCAGGTAAATGCATGTGACGATTTACGGATTATATAAGTGGCTACAACCGACAGAGCAAATTTTCCGAAGAGCGGAGACACAGCAGTAAAGATTATTTGGCAGAGCCTGTTATAAATTCCTTTCACGCAGTAAAAGCTGTTCTTACTGACATCCAGGCTTCTTTAATCTCCCTTGACCTGTAGATTAGTAAATTTTGCACGCGGAAGGAAGGAGGGGTATATAGCGAGAGCTAGGAACCAGACTATTTACGATCTAAAGATGGATAGACAAGAAAACTATCCGAAGGGTCAGATAAAAAAATGGGTAGGGTTTCCAAGAGGGGTCTTTCAAATGTCCTTATTTATTACAACCACCTACTTAAATGTTTTAAGTAAGTTGAATGACCCATAATATTGCAGTTTTCTACACGCCATCCGTCGGTCTAGCAGGGATTTGATGATGGCATTGAACTGTAGAGTGGTCCTCCGAAGGTTGCCGCATACCATAACCGCTTAGCTCAGTATATTTAGCGAAATTAGCCTTTTACATTAACCATTGGATTAACTGCTTATTTACAAATTTCGGCAAAAGTAGCTTATGTAGCCCCACTCATATACCCTTAGTCTCAGCATTTTGTCCTGCAAAAACGGTGGCTATAGAGTTTTGTGGGATGGGGAAATAGGATAGGCAGAGAAGGAAATTTTTAGAAGTGTAAAGTGAAAAAATGTAGTCGAGGATGCTTCCCGCGGCCGCTGGGAGCAGGTGGTTCCACAA